TGGGACGTCCTCTCTCATATGCGTTCTATTCACTGCTTAATCGAGAGAGCGAATGGCAACGAATCTCAAAACAGATGAGAATTTGGATTAGCCCACAGGATAGAATGTACACGTAAAGCCTTTTGAGTCAGTCCACTGCTGAATGAGGGCCTCTCGACGCCTTGCAGGTTGTAGGGATTACTTGACCATGCTTCACCACACTGGTTAATGCAGGTGGGAGGAGATGGCAGAGAATGGACGTGATAGCAAAGTAAGCCCAGTGCTGCCCTCTGCTGCTAGCGAAGCCCGACTGCCTGTATCACCTGGAATGCAGGATAGTCACCCATCACAGCACTAGCCAGGCTCAATGTCTGCTTCACAGTGATGGTAAGTTACTCAGATTAAACTGTACATTAGTAAATGTTCAGTGTTTTAAAGTTGTCAATATGTAAAAGTGTAACTCGTTATTTACGGTTTATTCAGTGTGAATTCGATGTGTTACGTATTGCATGTGCATGAGATTGTCTAATTAACATACTGTGTAGACTGTTACTAATCATTGCTGACTTTACACCAATACACGATACTACTACAGTAAACATGTTAAGAAAATTCTAACAACGCAGCGACCGTTGATATTGATTTGCAATCTATAAACACCTTAATCGAATGTTGCGCTTAAGGTTATATTCATTAAACCCACTTAATTGGTCGCAAGTGACCGGTCTTGCCCACGACCGATACTAACGACCCCCCCCCCCCGATATTCAATGAAACAATTCCCCAAAGGTGTCCTGGACACTTCATCTGACTGAGATGTCCACAGAGGGGGGCCGCCAAGTTGAAGCAGCTCACCGAGTTGGAGGAGTGGAGTCCACGCGCGTCCTGCAGGGGGCGACGTGACACCAGCTCTGACGTCCCGGCGGGTGACGTTTCGCGCTCATCCCCTGACGCAGGGAAGCAGCAAATGTGACGCTGCTGTCCGTCCATTCGCTTCAGATTGCGGTGGAATTGTAGATGTGGCTGCTGGAATCACGTGAACTCCATTGCATATCGGTAGAGCTGGTGTTGGGCCATTGCATTTAAGTCATTACGTATGTTTGCGGCCCCCCTTTTAAATGTCAATCCACTGCTGGATGAGACCCACCTTCCCCTCACTTCCACGCCGCAAGTCGTAGGGGTTATTTGACTATACTTCACCACGCTGGTCTGCAATGCGTGTTGTGAAGGCGAGGAGCATAGAGGTGCAGTCTAACGACGGATTTTGCCCAACTTGCCACGTGCTGCGTCCAGATTCGGTCCGCAGTGGCCTATAGCACCTGTTATGCACGTTGGTTGACCCATCCAAGCACTTTCCACACTCAAACGTGCTTAGCTTCCATTTAGATTGTTTAGAATATTTGGCTGCTATAAATTTCAACATGGTAAGCCTCTTCGTTGAGCTATCATTTGTGGTCAAGTTCTGAAAACTAACTGTGTGGCTCAGTCGGACTTACCTGGTCAAATAAATAAAAAGTTTATTAAAATTTGTTTACTCATTTGCTCACCCATCCTAAACTTTGCACTCCTATCTTTTTATGTATTGTGTTGTTGTAACTTTCTGACACGCCCCTACTGAACATCTGTGAAAAGAGCTTCATAGCTCATCGGATTTCGCCAGAATAAATAAATATTCTGATTTCGTCTCGTAGGCTATGGGACGGGATCTTACGGGTGCGGGAATTTCTGATGGGATGGGAATAGTGCTCACGTTATATATCATCAATGATAACAGGGTTACTATCTCTTAAGCATCATCATATGCGTGTTATATGGTCTACTCACTGCTGGATGACAGGATTCATGTTTACTTTGCAGCAGCAGCATCATGTGTGTATATCGGGCCGTCCATAAATGACGTCACGCACCTGGGGGGGAGGTCAGACATTTGTGACGATGTGTGACGAGGGGGGGTTTGAGAAATGTGACGTCACATCAAAATGCGCAACTTTAAATATAGACAACACGTTCTATTTAATTAAATATACTTTTTAATAAATGTTTTCTCCTACGACATCAGAGTGCAGCGCCACATTAAATACGCACTACAATGACAATAGTTTAAAGCGATTTGAAGCAGGTTTTATTTTAAAAATGCAAATATGGTTTTGGGGGGGGGGGGAGCTTTGTGACATCATATTTGAGGGGGGGGGTCTGATTTTTTGTGACGCCGTGTGACGAGAGGGGGGGGGGGTCAAAAATCGTCCAAAATCGCGTGACGTCATTTATGGACGGCCCCTAATGTACCATGTTATTATCCACTGCTGGATGGCATGATGAATGTTTACTATACATCAGCATCATCATGTGTGTGCCATGTATTATCCACTGCTTTGGTGACAGGATTCATGTTACTATGCAGCATCATGTGTATGTCATGTACTATCCACAGCTGGATGAGATGATGATCATCGTGTGTGCCATGTACTATCCACTGCTGGATGAGATGATGATCATCGTGTGTGCCATGTACTGTCCACTGCTGGATGAGATGATGATCATCGTGTGTGCCATGTACTATCCACTGCTGGATGTCATTATGAATGTTTACTATGCATCATCATCATCGCGTGTGCTTGTGTGTGTTTCCGTGCTGTGCCAAATGCTTGGATCTCATCCACGTGTGAGCACCCCCCCTACCCCCCCTTACCCCCCACCCACCCTTACCCCCCCTTACCCCCCCTACCCCCCCACCTCCCCTACCCCCCCCCCACCTGCGCTTGCCGTACATTGTTCAACGTTGTGCGAGGGCAGCGCGAATTAAATGTTTTTTAAGTCATAAGGATGAAGCAGATCGAAGCAGGTTAGGTTGGATATACTACGAGCGAGTGAGTGTGTGAGTGTGTGTGCGAGTGTGTGTGAGTATGTGTGCGAGTGTGTGTGAGTGTGTGTGTGTAGTCGGGCAAAACAACCCCCTACCTCCTCGCGGTGCCGGACGGGCAACTCTGTCGTGGACAATGCTGTGGGGGGAGATCCAATTTTGATTGGCCCCTCCCCTCATGGCGTCTGTGTCCACCACAGGGGCTAAACGGGGGCTCTGGACGGGTGCGAGGGGCTGGTAACCCCTCCACCTTCAATTAATTACCACGAAACCACGGAGTGATGTGGTACAGGAGGACGTGGAGCTGAGTGGACTTGCCGATGACTGGTACCAGCGGTGTCAAGATCGGCCTCTGTGGAGGAGGCTCGTGAAGGACGCTACTGGACAGTTGGAGGCAGTCGCCCTCCAACAACAACGGAGGGCGGAGGAGCGACGCTCACAACAACGAGCGGAGCGCTGGGTGGCTAAAGCACAGCAGGTTGGCACAGTAGGGGGCACAGGTGGTGCATCAGCCAGTCATCTCAGTCAGTCGACCAGTGGCACCTGGGTCTGCCCCGTGACCTCCTGCCGGCGGGCGTTCGACACTTCACTTGGCCTCAGGGTGCACATGGCCTGGCACAAGCGTCGTGGTGACGTCACCGACACTTAGTGGCGAATTGCGGTTATAGTTGTGTGTGAGTGTGTGACGGGCGAGGCACGAAGAGGGAATGCCGAATAAATAAATAATAACAACATAAAGTGAGCGGAATAAAAACAACGTGACAGAATGAGATGAATGTGACAGCAGAATGAGATGATGATACCTGGACGAGGCGTGAGGCGCGAATGAGATGAATGTGACAGCTGAATGAGATGAATGTGACAGCTGAATGAGATGATACCTGGACGAGGTGTGAGGCGCGAATGAGATGAATGTGACAGCTGAATGAGATGATGATACCTGGACGAGGCGTGAGGCGCGAATGAGATGAATGTGACAGCTGAATGAGATGAATGTGACAGCTGAATGAGATGATACCTGGACGAGGTGTGAGGCGCGAATGAGATGAATGTGACAGCTGAATGAGATGATGATACCTGGACGAGGCGTGAGGCGCGAATGAGATGAATGTGACAGCAGAATGAGACGAATGTGACAGCTGAATGAGATGATGATACCTGGACGAGGCGTGAGGCGCGAATGAGATGAATGTGACAGCTGAATGAGATGAATGTGACAGCTGAATGAGATGATACCTGGACGAGGCGTGAGGCGCGAATGAGATGAATGTGACAGCAGAATGAGATGAATGTGACAGCTGAATGAGATGATGATACCTGGACGAGGTGTGAGGCGCGAATGAGATGAATGTGACAGCAGAATGAGATGATGATACCTGGACAAGGCGTGAGGCGCGAATGAGATGAATGTGACAGCAGAATGAGATGAATGTGACAGCTGAATGAGATGAATGTGACAGCTGAATGAGATGAATGTGACAGCTGAATGAGATGATACCTGGACGAGGCGTGAGGCGCGAATGAGATGAATGTGACAGCTGAATGAGATGATGATACCTGGACGAGGCGTGAGGCGCGAATGAGATGAATGTGACAGCTGAATGAGATGAATGTGACAGCTGAATGAGATGATACCTGGACGAGGCGTGAGGCGCGAATGAGATGAATGTGACAGCTGAATGAGATGATTGTGACAGCTGAATGAGATGATGATACCTGGCCGAGGTGTGAGGCGCGAATGAGATGAATGTGACAGCAGAATGAGATGATGATACCTGGACAAGGCGTGAGGCGCGAATGAGATGAATGTGACAGCAGAATGAGATGAATGTGACAGCTGAATGAGATGAATGTGACAGCTGAATGAGATGATGATACCTGGACGAGGCGTGAGGCGCGAATGAGATGAATGTGACAGCAGAATGAGATGAATGTGACAGCAGAATGAGATGATGATACCTGGACGAGGCGTGAGGCGCGAATGAGATGAATGACCAATTGAAGGAGCTTGCGATACGTGAAGGTGATGAAGAATACATTTTAACATAAAGGAGCTGCGAGCAGTGAGGAGGAGGAGCAGCAGCAGGAGGAGGAGGAGGAAGAGGAGGAGGAAGAGTGAAAATATAAAAATATAAAAATAAAGTCGCCGTTGTCGTCACGTCGCGCCATGTTGGTGCTGCCGCCTGCAGCAGGCGTAGCAACGCAACCTGCTCCTCCTCCTCTTCTTCACCACCAACACCACCACCAACAACAACATCATCACAGCCTCCTCCTCGTCACAGCCGCCTCCACTTCGTCGGAATAATCGGCAGCTCTTCCTTAGTCTCGCGAGGACAGCTCAGCAATGCCGGTGGCGAGGAGGAGGAGAAGGAGGCCGGCCGCTGCCGCCGCCGCCGCTGCCGCCCTGAGATGAGCGGAGCCCGGGGAGGAGGAGGAGGCGAGAGCGAGCGGTGAAGGTGAGAGACGAGGCCCCAACGCATCACAACAATATCAACAACATCAACATCATCATCACAGCAACAACGTCAGCACGTCTTCTTCATCTCGACCACACAACATCGTCACCGTCACATCATCTCTACACATCTTCATCATCTCTACCGCACATCACGGTCATAACAATCAACATCGTCTCATCCATATATCATCATCAACGTCTATTACCACGCATCATCATCGCATGTGCATCTCTACCATCACATCGTATCCAGACATCATCTCTACCACACATCGCAACCATCAACATGTTCATCTCCACCGCACATCATCATCGTCGCAGTATTAATCTTTACCACACATCATCATTGCACATCACAGTCGTCTTTTCAGTACACCAGTTATCCCCGTGCATCACGATCAGCATTCCAATTCTATAATCGTGAATCTCATCAACCCCCACCACGCGTCACTTTACCATCAGCACCCCCCCCCCCACGCATCTTGATCAACATGCATCATCATCATCCATATGTATCATCATATTGGGTCAGGTAATCATTATCCGTACCTTCGATTAGCACGATTGGCTACGTATGGTACATGCATGTGTTCATTATCATCATCATCCCCACGTGTGAAAATGAACGCTTAGGCATTAACCTCATCATCACCGTCGCAATTACTCCCACGCTACATCACAGCGCATGCCATCAAGTATCGTTAAAATCAAAGTCATCAACACACAAGACGTTTGCATTATTCACATGCATCACATCATCACCATCTCACGTGTCACACCATCGCCACGCATTACACTTTATTTTTACAATATGCACGACATTGTGTTTCCTTTTTTGTTAAATTCAAAACAAACTCTTTAAAAATGTGTGTGCGCTCAGACGTAAACATACATGTCAGTAATTTTTAGAGCAGTGATTAGGTGGCCCAACATATACATCATTGTCTACAAGTGTCACATCATCAACTTCATCATCAACCCCATGAATTACAGTATTGTAATCCTCACACTATTACACATGTTCATCCACAATACCAACGTCACATCATCATCGCCAACATTTCTCTCGGTCATATCATTTCCACACACCACCATCAACATCCAGAAGCATCACATCACCCTACACCACTTCAACTCATCACATCATCTCCACGCAACGGGATATCCCCTCGTCTCTGATCGTCATCACCATCAATCATCTTCATGCATCGTCATCATCCTCTTCATCCCGACTCATCATCTTCTCCACTCATCGCCACCTTCATTTCCAAGTATCGTGATACCATCCCCTCGTGTCATCATCAATGCGCATCATGTCATTTACACGTGGTGTTGATGATGATGTTGATATTGATGATGATGTTGATGATGATGATGTTGATGATGATATCTTCTCGTTGTCCTCGCCACCGCTAAATATAAACAGTTGGTAGTGGTGGCATCCCTGTACCGGTTGGGGCCACCACGACCGTCCCTGCAGTGCCCCCCTCTATCTCTCGGGGACGCCTTCATCCAGCAGTGGAATAATCATGGCTCACGATGATGATGATGATAACAGCGCTCGGATTGCATTGCGTTGCAGGTTATATATTTCATCACATGCGTTATATCGCATGTGCGCTGGCCCAGTGGCCTGGGGTGGTGTTGCGATATTGGGGGGGCCTTCCCCGGGCTTCTCGTCTTTCAATTTGCTCCACAGTATTGTTTACCTCTTCACCACTGTGCCCACGGTATTTGTTTACCTCTTCACCACTGTGCCCACGGTAATTGTTTCCCTCTTCACCACTGTGCCCACGGTATTTGTTTACCTCTTCACCACTGTGCCCACGGTAATTGTTTACCTCTTCACCACTGTGCCCACGGTATTTGTTTACCTCTTCACCACTGTGCCCACGGTATTTGTTTACCTCTTCACCACTGTGCCCACGGTATTTGTTTACCTCTTCACCACTGTGCCCACGGTATTTGTTTACCTCTTCAGGACTGTCCACGGTATTTGTTTACCTCTTCACCACTGCCCACGGTATTTGTTTACCTCTTCACCACTGTACCCACGGTATTTGTTCACCTCTTCACCACTGTGCCCACGGTATTTGTTTACCTCTTCACTACTGTCCACGGTATTTGTTTACCTCTTCACCACTGCCCACGGTATTTGTTTACCTCTTCACCACTGTACCCACGGTAATTGTTTACCTCTTCACCACTGTGCCCACAGTATTTGTTTACCTCTTCACTACTGTCCACGGTATTTGTTTACCTCTTCACCACTGTACCCACGGTATTTGTTTACCTCTTCACCACTGCCCACGGTATTTGTTTACCTCTTCACTGTGCCCACGGTATTTGTTTACCTCTTCACCACTGTGCCCACAGTATTTGTTTACCTCTTCACCACTGTGCCCACAGTATTTGTTTACCTCTTCACCACTGTGCCCACGGTATTTGTTTACCTCTTCACCACTGTGCCCACGGTATTTGTTTACCTCTTCACCACTGTGCCCACGGTATTTGTTTACCTCTTCACCACTGTGCCCACGGTATTTGTTTACCTCTTCAGCACTGTGCCCACGGTATTTGTTTACCTCTTCACCACTGTGCCCACGGTAATTGTTTACCTCTTCACCACTGTGCCCACGGTATTTGTTTACCTCTTCACCACTGTGCCCACAGTATTTGTTTACCTCTTCACCACTGTGCCCACGGTATTTGTTTACCTCTTCACCACTGTGCCCACGGTATTTGTTTACCTCTTCATCACTGTGCCCACAGTATGTTTACCTCTTCACCACTGTGCCCACGGTATTTGTTTACCTCTTCACCACTGTGCCCACAGTATTTGTTTACCTCTTCACCACTGTGCCCACAGTATGTTTACCTCTTCACCACTGTGCCCACAGTATTTGTTTACCTCTTCACCACTGTGCCCACGGTATTTGTTTACCTCTTCACCACTGTGCCCACAGTATTTGTTTACCTCTTCACCACTGCCCACGGTATTTGTTTACCTCTTCACCACTGTGCCCACGGTATTTGTTTACCTCTTCATCACTGTGCCCACGGTATTTGTTTACCTCTTCACCACTGTGCCCACAGTATGTTTACCTCTTCACCACTGTGCCCACGGTATTTGTTTACCTCTTCACCACTGTGCCCACAGTATTTGTTTACCTCTTCACCACTGCCCACGGTATTTGTTTACCTCTTCACCACTGCCCACAGTATTTGTTTACCTCTTCGCCACTGTGTCCACGTTGTTCATCATCGTCCATCGTCCGCAGCCACGACGCCCTTTGAAACACTCCCAACACCCCGTGTTGTTATTTCTGTTGTCTGCGTTGTGTCTAAGGCTAATTTTGTCAAAGGCAGTTGCTATTTTTTTGTTGTTTTGAGGTTTGTTGGTTCTCTCGTCACTTTAAGATGTTTTCTTGTTCATGTTTTTTGTTTGTTGCGGTTTCACCCAATTCAAGAGCCGAATGGCTCACAGGGCTATACCAAATAAATGAAACTGGAAAATGTGCTTTTGCTTTATCTGAGTCGGTTGATGTTATTCATGTAGCAAACGGAGGTTGCTTAATGTGTTGTGTGTGAGTTGGGTCTAGCTTTTGTGGTTGTATCAAAAGTTTGATGTCATTTGTGTTGTCTCAGGTTGGTTCATCTTGGTTGTGTTCCGTGCCCCGTACAATAAGTTATGTTGTGGTTGTTTGCGTTGTAGGTTGTGTGTGCGAGTTAAAAGTCTTTCTGTTGCTAAGGGTTGCTGTGTATGTCCTCCTCTTGTTTGTGTTGCGTTCCAAAGGTTGTGTTTTGTTTTTCGAGATATGCTTGTAAACTTGTTGTGCTGTAAATTGTTGTGTTCATGGTGGCACTGTATTTGCTTGTGTTTCTGTTGCTACACCGAGGTTGCGTTGTTTTGTTCAAGGTATTGTCTATTTAGGTTTTGTTATACCCGTGTTGCTGTTTGTGCTCACCAGACAGTGATGATGTCTTTGTGTAGTTGTGGTTCTGTTCCCACTGGGTTAAGTTGTTTGTGTTCTTGTATTTGTTCAACTTATAGCTCACAAACTTGTCTTGTACTCACGTTTGTTCTGTACGTTAAATGTTGCTGTTTGTGGTTTGTGTGTGTGTGTGCGCGCACTTTTGTACGCTTGTCATTGTTATTTACTGCATCATACATTGGAGGTTTATTTTTAATTGAGCCTTTAGACTTCTACGTACTGTACAGTCTCAACGTGGGGGTGGATTGAGTTGGCTTGGCAGCCAATGGCCCTTTGTGACAGCTTATTGTGTTAAACACCCACAGGGCTAATGCAGTAATGGGCCCCTAAAGAAGTAAAATGTTCGTTAAAAGAGGATATGCAAATGAGATACAAACAAGTATTGAGGGCGACTGACGCCACTTTCAACTTCTTATGTTATTGATCAGTGTTATAAGTTCTAAGAAGTTTTTTTGTTTGTATTTAACCCCCCCCCCCCCCAGATCTTCCACTTGTTCCATTCATAAGGCTTGCTGTGTGCTCTAAGAGCTTCTAAGCAAACTAGCCCGATTGTAAAAAAAAAAGCGATTGTGTACACCACAGCCATGCAAGTTAATGCAATTAATCTCCAATGACGATGACCCTGACCTCAGGCTTATGTAGTTGAACTGGGCGATTCACATTTTCTGCACGCTTTGTGCAAGCAACTGCACTTACAGTGCATTCTTGAGAGAAAATAAGGATTCCTCCCATGACGAGTTTGTCTTAAGGTAGCCTCCACAGCTCCATTCGATGTGGCATTTACTAGATAATTTATTCAAATGGAGACTACAAACACGAAAGCGGATATAGGGTTGTATACCATGCAACAATGCGTTTTACATTTTAGCATCAGTAGTTGGTAGTGTTAAGCCATGCCATTACGCAATCCGTATGTAGAAGTCGCCTCTTAAATTGTGCGCAATGAAATAGCTGCATTGAAAAGTGTGTACAGTATATTTTTGCCCGTGAAATGTGTGCACTT